ACACAATAAGCAGATTCGAAGAAATTCGCTGAAGTGTTTTGCGATGTGTAAATTCAATGCTAATAAATATCTCCAAACGGGGTGATTTTGAAAACCGTAAAACCTAGTCTTGTCCCAGGCCCCTCGTTTCGGACACGGAAATGTCTTACTTTTACTTAATTTATATTATAGTAATTCAACTTCCATTTCACTTTCAACCCCGATGTGTTTTCACCATGTTATTTTACCATAGAGTTTTCTTTCGCTCGATCCATTGTCCTCCAAGGAATTATTTCAAGAATGCACCTGTGGCATATTATGAAAGATAAAAAACATATAAAAGAAATTACTTTTGTGCGTCATTTTCCGATGATAGGCCACGAACAAGTAAACACTTAAATCACCCATAATCATTTAACATTAAATCATCATTAATTTTCTGAAACCTTTTTCACTAATTGACATTAGGCAGTTTTAAGTTCGACTACGAGATCATTAAGCAGAATTTATTTCATTATTTATGATGGACTAAAATGTAGCAAAAAGTGTAACAATTAAGATAAAGATGATATATGCGATATTTGCTACGAATCTAAGTGCTGCTTTGGAAACATTTCTATTCAGTTTCAATAAAAGTCCCATCCAAAAAGGTTGCTTTGAGACCCAACTGCGCTTCTCACATCCTCCAAACGCATGGGTCCAAACATCACCCACTCTGTTCTTTAGGAAGGAGGAGGGAACAGAGGATGAGTCTGGAGCCCTGCGTTCGGAGGATACGATTCTCTTGTACTCTCAGGCTGGGCCATTCAATGTTTCAAATCAGATTTGTGAAGCAATTCAAATCTCTAGTGTTCTTCATCTAAAGGCTAAGCCATTCAATGTTTCAAATCAGATTTGTGATGTTTATGTAATTCTAATTTGATTTATCTAATAATGGTCATAGAAATTTATTTCATTCTCAAACTCGACTGTATCCTTGCCTAGAAATCAAGATAAGTAAGAGACCAACTTGGGCAAGGATAACTCGACTGCAAATTAGGGAAAAGATTATTGGAACAAATATTGACGACGTTTGAACAAACATGTTGATTTTAAACGATTTCAGTCTCTAAAAAGAAAAGGTTTACCAAGCTTTTAATGTTTTGTTTCTTCACTGAATAAAAAACAAATGAAAAAGCAGTTATTTCTCGATCCCAAACATGCGATAAAAAGAGCCCCTATGAAATTGCCTTTAACAAATATATTATGAAAATATTTGCCTTTTCTTCAGCATTTGAGTTTCTTTTAATGACTTTGACAACTTTAATAATACCCTGAATGGATACTTTTCAATTTTGATTTTTTATCAAAATCTTTTTTTAAAATATGTGTTTGTGATCTAAAGATTCAGGCCTGAAGAAAAGATGTGAACATTCAAGAAAGTTAAACTCCGTGTCAAACAAAGTACATCGAGTATTATGGCCCAGGGTATATAAAATAATCATTTACAAAAAAATGAATTCATATTTCACTAATTGACTATATATTTGTAAATAGGAAACCGATAGTCCTTGAAGAACTTTTAAACATGAATGTATTGTATTATAGGCTATTGTATTGTATTGTATTTAACAACCAATGAGCTAAACATTTAGGTTTTAGGCAGATATCTGATGTTTACGTCGTAAGCTGAACAAAAGAAGTCTCCTTGAAAGAACCGTACACTGAAACAGACGTTCAATACACATCACAGTTTCATTGGGGGATTTTTTTTAAAGTATCGGGAAACTAACCGATTAGTTTTGCTTGAATCAGGAATCGAACCAGGTCAATGCTCCACTACAAACAAAGCTGATATTATTTCGCCGAAAGTGTCTTTAAAGCTTGCTCCATTCTAGAATGGCAGCAATTTTCACTGAAGAGTACAAAAAGTGAAATTCTTGCAAGCAATACACTGATTATGTTCCCATTATATTAAATTTATTACTTTTAACAACTTTAAAAAGGTAATAACACGATTGGCTGACTTTATATAAAAATAGTTTAACCTTCAAGCTGGGTGATCCGTGTTTACATCTATCTGAATATGAAATAATTACGATTTACAGAAAAGAACATAGCTCCGGGAACATATCAATATAATGATTAACGAAGAAAAAAGTTATAATGTTTTTGGTTGATTCGCACCCCTCAAGTTATGTTAATGGAATTTTGTCATGGATAAAGGAATGTTTGGGTATTGCTTTGTTGCAACTGCATGAGGAATCACATCAGGTTGATTCCAAAGTAAAGAACAATGCATTAACACACAAAATGTCACCACCTGCCATTTGATACAGACGCCGAACGCCAACAGCCGAACACCGTTCACAAGAAGTCACCTTTGGTGGTGACACAAAAATGGTATAAGTAAAGTGATTTAGCATGAGAAAAATGGATTTTTCTATTCTACAAAATTCTGTTTTCAACAATTTCTATTCTGTATATTTCTTGTCGTTTCAGTCATATATGAATTGGTTAAAATTTTACAAATGTTTTTGATACGTCGAGGCTGATACATTTTTTAAATATAATTTCAGTCGGTTTACGCTAGCAAGTGACCTATTCCGTACTTCCTCAATACGTTTTACGATTTTTTCTGGTAAATCGGTTGATACGCTCCCTATTATTTGCAATCCATGTGTCAGGTCTGAATGTGTAAGAGGAATTAGCTCTAAGGGATTTTTCCAAAGCTAGGGGTCAATGATCAAGCAATTAGTATCAGTGAAATTTAAAAAACATTTAAGCACAGCTATAGAAGAAGCATGAGAGCGACACAATTCATTCTGAAGCCACTCCAGAGTACATGGTAGATATACTGAAAATCGATGCCTTAAAACATCAAAAAATGAAAAGCTTTTTTCTGAAACTTATAAGAGAGATAATTTTAAAAGTCAAACCTGTTTTATTGCATCGATCCAAGTATTACCAGTGTTGTATGAGACATGTTATTTCAAGCAGATGTTTTGAACAACTGAACGAGTTCTTTTCTCAAAGTACACTCCCCTCCATAAGTTTTGCAACCTTAGCTCCCCCATTGAACTACGTGTTAAGCCTCTTTACGTTTGAATTTTTATTTACTAACCGGCGATGAAATAACTTATAATATTGATGGAAACGTAACTTGACTTTATTTCCAATACCTCCAAATTTTCTCAATTTTTTCGCTCAATTACAATAGGTCGAAAATTGATGATAAATTTTTGAAAATCGTTATTCCCATGTAATGGAGGGTTCGGGGCAAATCAGAAATCAGGATATCTTTTCAGTAAAAGATTCAGCAAAAAATATTTTTATATAAGAAAATTGAATTGTCTAACTTTCTGTACACTAAGTGTTTAGTTTATTTGATGAATACTTAAGTTACAGAGCTTCAAAGTCATTTTTGAAAATAATTTTTCGCCTCCTGTGTTATTTCAATGGGAGAGGTTTTTTGAAAAACAATTTCGACTTTAAAGCCTTATAATATTGTCGGACCTGAAGAAACATATCAATTTTTTGTTAATTAAAGTTAGCAAATTCGATTGCCTGCCTAACTCGTATTTTTTGCAAGGACTTAGATGGATGGATATTCTGTCATATAACTTGCGGCAAACCTACCATTTCCCATTGGTTAACATGGGAATGTCGATTTTGAAAAATTCATCAAAATCATAAATTTTCGACTTATTGTAATTGAGAAAAGTTGGAGTTATTGGAAATAAAGTCAAATTCCGTTTCCAATAATACTATAAGTATTTTAATCGCAGGTTAAGTAAATGAAAAATTCAAAGGTAAAGAGGCTTTAACACGTAGTTCAATGGGGGAGCTAAGGTTGCCAAACCTATGGAGGGGAGTGTAAGAATAAACATTAAACAGTTTTTGCAGATTTATATGGGCACTTTTTATAAACGAAACATCGCTTAAATTCGCTTATCAATTAACATCCGCAAAACACCATTGACACCTTTAACATTGACTAAATAGTGACTAAAAGTAAACAGGTCTTAGAAATGCGAAATACGAGCTGACCAATATCAAACACTTAAGGCTTTAAGAGCTTGAACATCAGTTGATAGAATATTTCACTTATCTATAAGATTTCTTTATTTGTTCTTGCTGATAAAAGCGGCTTTATTCGATTCAATACTTTATACAGGAATACAATTCGTCGGGTTAATGAATTAATCTTTGGACATTACGTCATGCTGACTTACGTAACGTTGGTTACTGGTTGTCTTCTGTCAGTATATGATAACTACTGCACGATGCATATTTAGATGACTTTCCTTATTCATTCTAATTCTAATTGCACAGCCACAATGTGTAGCCTATCTTTCTGTTTATTTTGTGATTTCAAATCATCAGAACATAGTTAGAATAAACACCATATTAAAGTGGCAGTCTGACGCACATCCTCAAAAAAATATAGGCCTAATGAGCAAGACAATCACTCATTTTATCCTGAATCGACTACACTGCCCTCTGACATTACAGTTTTAATTTCTGATGCGATCTTATTTATCTCAAATGGGGCGTTCATTGAAAATAAATGCTCGCTATTAACAGGCAAAAAGTGTCGAGTCGGTCTCTGTTTTGACTACATATTTGATTGCACGAAGGCTAGATCAAATTATTATCATTATCTCATAAATCTAAAGAATGTAGCTGAATTGTTCCAAAGGGTATATTAAATTCCATTAATGCATTTTATGAGGATGTGCATTACACTGCTCTTAGAGAGAGAGAGTGAAAAAATGTAAAAGTTACTCATGTACGTACTATAGATGACTCGTTTGAAAACAAGTCATTGTATAATAAATATTATGATGATATTAATTTGCAAACTTGTCGATTAAATGCTAATATAAATACTGTATCATTCACTACATCTGCAAGAAATGCAGGTATAGGGGAAAGTTAGATTCACGTTTATATTGCTTTACATCATTTGAAAGGTGCATAATGTCACACTACATTCTACAGTTCTATGCCCAATGAATATATACATAAATTAGGTTTACCTGGTAATTCATCATTTCCAAGTTCTTCTTCCTGATCTTTCTGTTCTTCTTTACAATCAGTTTTACTCAACTCTTCCATTGTTCTCTAGATTATCATATTCTATGATATTTCTCAACTGCTCGGCATTTACAGATAAATCCTTTAGCTGAGTGAAAACGTTGATGCTTAATGTCTGTGTATCACAGATACAGTTTGAGTGTGATTACTTCTTAAGGAGGTTAGCTGGTTTAGACCTGGCTTGTCACTGGATGGGCTTTTGTGAAACGCATCAGCCTGTCAGCAAGATTCTGAAAATAATTGGAGCTTGCTATAATGATAAAAGACAGCATCAACACATCTCAATCATTTTCTTTAAGTAATTTTAAAAAACGCGATTGTTTGCAGGAACTGCATGTCATTAATTACTGTAAGAGCTATTAACATAACAATTGTATTGTTAGCATCTAGGCGTACTGCGGTCGGTAAAATCCATTTCATTACAGTCCCATCAGTGTATCGTAATTGCTCCTGTGAAATAGTTCTGCCACTTGCAGGACACACACTAAATCTGATATTTACTGGTAAAGTGTACTGAACGAACTATTAATGTATTTGCGAAATGCTGATGTTATCGTCTACTTTTTGATGGCAATAGAATGCGCATGATGGCGAATTGAATGCACGTAATGGCAATAGTATACATTGGGGTAATAACATATGTCCAATACGTTGATGACAACACAAAGGCCAATGTTATTACTGTTGGGGCAATCGGGATATCTATGGAAATAAATTAATGTTTCCAAATATTTGATCATATCGTGATACATACACCCAGATAATTCAGAATCGTTTTATGTACCTGACACACTCACACCACTGCTGTACAGGGAAGACGAAATGGTTAAAATTGTTATCAAATAATTGTCTGATATTACAAAGTATAATTTAAATCCTAGCCTACGTGAGTTTATTTTTCCGTTTCTGCCCACACAGAGTCGTACCTAATAAACCAGTATCATTGTATCAACTGTCTTATCTCTCCCTATCTTTTAACAGTAAGTATTCAGTGATTCTGCACAAGTTTATGATCAAATTAAGAGTGCCAATATAATGAAAATACTAAACTACTAGAAATACTAGAATAAAATATACGACATGGAATCGGATGTATAACTATAGACTTAAAATATCGCTTGTCTGTCTTACCATATCTTAAGTTTAAAATGATTTCAATCTCGTCATATTAAAAAACTTATATTTGATAATCTACTTTTAGATCTCTGCAGTCTTTGTTTCATAAGGTAACTAGTTCATGTACTGTAAAATAAGTGCGGTTTTAATAACCTGGTAAACTGAAATGACTGATGTTATGCGCAAATTTTGAATGTCAATATATGCGTGTTGTACACTTGTATGGTTGTAATAGTTTAATTCCCAACACATCTTGAGTTGTCTTAGACTTTGCTATTTACTTTAGAGTCGATAAATGATTAAATTAAGTGAAAATAAATGATTGAATGTAATTTTAATACGATCTGTCTGCGAAGCTTTTAAAGTTGGACAATGGGGATTGTCGAATGTAGATTATAATTTAGGGATACTTATCAACAGAGAGGTGACAATACATAACTGTCATCTCTTAGAGTCCCGCATTCTTGTAAATCTGCCAAGAAGGACATAACAAATATTCTTTTTCGATATATTCTGACATTGAAAAACATTCTAGATAAAGTTGTTGGTGAAAACATTAGCTTGGTGGCTTGGGGCAAATATAGCGCCATCAATTCACACAACATTGAGATCGCCAACTTACCACCCCAGCTTGACACCATTACCTCAACTTAGACCATCAATTTATCACCCCGCCTTGACACCATCATCTAGCCTAAGACCACCAATTTATCACCCCGCCTTGACACCACCATCTCGCCTAAGACCACCTATCTAGCACCCCACCTTGACACCATAACCTCACCTAAGACCACCGATTTATCACCCCGCCTTGACACCATCATCTAGCCTAAGACCACCAATTTATCACCCCGCCTTGACACCATCATCTCGCCTAAGACCAACTATCTAGCACCCCACCTTGACACCATAACCTCACCTAAGACCACCGATTTATCACCCCGCCTTGACACCATCAACTCGCCTAAGACCACCAATTTATCAACCAGCCTTGACACCTTCAACTCGCCTAATACCACCAATTTAGCACCTCGCCTTGACACTATCACCTCGCCAAATCCAACTTCGTGTCTTGTATTTTATATGGATCAGTTTTGAGAGGGAACTTTTAAAGTGATTTGATATGGAATCTGGAATCTTTTGTTTACCTTTGATCGATGTGATTTCAGTAGTTCAAACCAAATGTTTACCTTGGAAGTCGAAGATGATCTTTGATTACGTAAGTCGTTTGTAACAGCTCCTTGATATTGCAGGGTCCCGTCTTCAAATGGGGAGAAAAGATTAAAGGCAACCTATCTCTTTCAGGAACACGCAGACGCGTTGAACTGGATCTTTATACGAAAAGAACAAATGGCAGAAAGGGCTATTTCAGGTTATCTAATAAATCAAGGTTAATTTGACATTTTGTTGTTTTTATTCGTCTTTCATCGAGATATATACATGGTGCTCTCGCCTGAGAACAGAGAATCTTGGGTCACTTACCATTTCACTTAGCTATTACATGTAATACGGCCCAGTCACCGAGACTGTTGTTTCGACGGTCTATTACTATTCGGCGAAGGGAGTTTCGTGCGGCTGGTCCTAGCATTCAACGACCTTGCCAATATGAAATGCCATTGTATTAGGCTGGTAGACCAAAAATAAATGTTTAATGTAATTCTCCCTTCTACATTGATTGATTAAGATGTTGCTCTTCTAATAATATAAACCAGATGCCCACACAATTCATTGCAAATTACATTTTTTACTTTTCTCAAACTTAGTGTAGAACTTGATCGCCGAGGCATGGTTTCCGTCTGATAGTTGTTGTGTTCAATTTAAAAGCAAATCAGTCAAACGAACCTGCTGTTTATTCCAGCTCATGTCTAAGCCATGCAAAACAGGTGAATAATGAATAAACCATTTTCACGTTTTGTTCAACATCTGATCTTGAATTAATTACCTTCAATGGAACACAACCTTTTTAAGTACAATAATGAAAATAAAAGCATAGACTGGTTTAACGTCAGGCTTATCAGATTTTAGGCAGGTTTAATCAATTGACAATTTCAAATAGTTTATTTTTGTATTTTGGCAAAGAATGTCACTGAACTAGGCAGACAAAGTTGACTTGCCTGGAAAGTGACAATTCGAGCCATCCACGAATCGTAACTTAATTTCCACACTTATGAGTTATTAAAAAGCAAAACTAGAAACAGAGAAGGAACACAAATTATGGGAACTTACAATGGTGAAGAAAAGAAAATAGTAGGCTAACACATTAAATATGGCAAATTGCAGGTCATAACAATTCGTATGCCATCCCATTCTTAGATACCCCTATAGGCTCTAATTTTGAAATTTATATGATAGATAAACGGCCAAACATCATTTTAAGCATGGAGGGTGGCAAGCACAAAGGTGTTTTGAAGTCATTCCAGTCAAACATGTCACATTGCAATTCTTAATTCTAGTTGCGTGATAACAAATGCCACCTACTTACACTTTTTAGGCAAATAGAAATAGTTAGACTTATAAAGAATGTAGAAATGCGTATTTTAGTCATGAATGGTGGTAATAGATCACATTTTGTTTGTCAAATTCCTTTATTTACGTAAACCACAGCTATGGTTAAAGTCCCCGTGTAAAGTTTGAATATTTAAATGATTTTTCTCTGAACAATTTTCATGCATTGATGAGTTCATTTATAGATCTTGTTTATTAATGAACCGATTGTCTTGATTTTTCGGCAAAAAACATGTGAGGATGAATTTCCTGCATTTTTTACAATTTTTTGAACAAAAAGTCTCAAAACCACATTTTGAAAATAAAAAAAGGTTTCACATATCAGACTTTGATAACATTGGGTAAGACTACAATATAAGCCAAAGTGGTTTATAATACCCGATTGTTTTGATTTGACGGCAATAACTAAATGGGCATGCAACACGAACGAGAAATTCTTCAAATGAAATTGCTATGATAAACACGATCTTGAAGCATAACCATAAATATAAAATATTCTCTGAAATAGGCCCTAACCCACACGTTCTGTAATCATGGTTTATGCCTTTCAGTTGAAGTTATCACCAATTACAGAGATAAAAGCTATTAAACCGACTGCAAGATGTCGGCAAATGGCATGTTTCAATGGTGAGAGCCTAGTAAAAATGTTCTATTGATAATTCCCTAAAGTTATTCGTATTTTGAACAAATTCAAAATGTATCAGATGCTGGCACAGTTTTGCCGGAAGTTTGCAAGAAGTAACTTTTGGCAATGCAGTATGTTAGAGTAACCTAGTAGGTGTAAGAAAATATAAGGTGATGGCCTTTAAAGTGGTAAAAACAATTTTCACGGCCGAATTGGACTTCAATTCCTGCGATTTCAGGGGGTACTATAGGACTATTTCATAACATAAAGGATATAGTTGCTATTGTTCTGCTTTCTACAGCACACATTACTAGTCCAAAGATGAATAATATCCTAAAGTTATAGGCCGATATCTGTATTAGTCTCAGAAATATTGCAATTAATAGGAAAAAAATACGCAATTTTAGTCTTTTTTTAGTCTCATGTATCTTATATTTGTAGCTTCCAGCAAAAGATGGCAGCTTAAATAGCTCAAAATTGTTTTCTAAAAACTAATTCAAGCTTTGTTTGATATTGTAATACAATTATAATGATGATAATGTACTATTTATGATTTTTAATATGACTTTATAGTACCCTACCCCTGGAAAGTGGGCGTGGTCAATGTTATCATTTTGCAGCATACAATTAAAAACTTATATTGATAGAAAGCAAATCAATGCATTTTTAACATTTTCACTTGTTACTTGACATTGTAATTCATTCATTACTAAAATATAGGACTCTACATATTTTATATATACGTTTTCAATTTTGTACAATGTATCATGATGAAATCTAATAGGCTGGTTCATTTTCAGTGTTCACTAATGCATGAAATGTAAGTCACAGTGTTTCCAAATTACCTTTGCAATGAGAAAGTACCACAAAGACTACATAATATGAGCAGTTTCAAGGTCCTAATACTAATACTTAACGATCTATCGGCGTTCAAAAATAGAGAAAGCTGTCGTGAGTGCAGTTTTAACTAACTTTGAACTGAAACTGCTGCTTAATGAATATTTTTCTCAACATCTTTCAGAGCTCTAGATCAAATATTCACTTCTGCATGGACTCTTAAAAAGAGGCAAAAGGACAAAAAAACTGTCAGATATCGTGAAAAATATGAAAGATGCACCATTCAGAACAATTTATCTCTTTATCTTACTTTTATTTGACATAATTTCTGATTCTGCCTCCAGTTAGTACCACCAATAATACATATGAGAAGACTTTAACGTCATAGTAAGTGGAAGTACAGATCTATTGGCTTCTGAAAATGGGAAAAGCTGTAGCAATTATGATTTTCACCAATTTTTCATCTAAGACTGCAACTTTCTGAATTTTCTTTTTACAAACTGCACAGTAAGACC